TCTCTCTCTCTCTCTCTCTCTCTCTCTCTCTCTCTCTCTCTCTCTCTCTCTCTCTCTCTCTCTGTATATATATATATATATATATATATATATATTGTCACAAATATATATATATATAGATGATATATAGATGATATATATAAATATTTATATTAAAAAGTCAATCATTCAATCGATCATTCGATCAATCCAATGACTCCGGTTTGTCGTGCGGGGTTTTTGACATGTCATCAAGTTGGTCACTCAGTCGCTGCATTGGATGTGTGTGAGGCGGTCTGGCCGAAGGTCAATCTGTCAAAAAGTTTGTGAGTCTATCTCTAAATCAGTTTCTTTTCCAGTGCATCGGTGACAATGCAAGTCACTAAGTCTGTCATTCGATGACTGTTTGCTGATTACAGGACCGGACGTTGTTTTTTTGCGATTTGACAGTTCATCCTTTTCGAGATTGTGTTGCCGGCATTGCACAGTCCACCACGCACCACACGCACGGCGCGAGAGAGAACCGCCCATTTGTCATGGATGACGCACCAGCCAGTTGCACGCCTGATGACGGCAGGTCAGCAGAACGGCCACCCACTTGGCCCGCGCGTGGCAACGCCACACCGATGTCACCGCATGGCGGACATCGCGGTTTGCTGGGAGTATCCCCTTATGGCAGCCCGGATGACATGCGATCAACAAAGAGGCCTCGTGTTCACTCTCTTTCGCCTACGGTCGTCGTCACTCCCGGCGTTGCAGTTGTGCATTCTCCGTTGCGGCCCTTGTTGTCGTTTCCAGCGCGCCGTCCACACATTCCGGTACACCCTTTGTCGGATTTCGATGCGTTGTGTTTTCCTGTACTGTCGCCACCATTGCAACCTCGCCGTTTGCAGTTTCTGTCGTGTGCTGCGCAGCCATTTCCTCCTCCTCCACTTTTCGTTGGACGCGAGGGGTTGGACTCCATCCCCCTAGAGGGGTGTTCTCAATCATGAAGAGCGGTGTTTGGAAGTGGAGGGTCCACACAGCGTGACGGAGGACGTCGGATTGTAGAACCGCGGGTCTCACATTCGTTCGCCGCATCAGGTCATGGGCAGGGGGGTGTATTGGATGATGCACGTCGTGCCTCTGCCGGGGACACACATGACCGTAATTCCGTCCGTCGCTCTCTCGTCTCCCGGTTCGACGAGGATGACATTGTGTGTGATAGCGGAGATGGGCCCGGCCGTTGCGATCCTGACGCTCAAAATCTTGGTGTGGGTCGTTCTGAACACTCGGGCGGGTCCTTGGGGCAATTCGGTTCGCAGTCAACTGGTTCCCCGAATTACTCTCATTTGTTCCTAATTACCGCTTGCAAGGAGGGACTGCGCCCTTTACAATCTGCGATGAAAGAAGTGAGCGACAAGTTTGGGGTCATGAGCGATGTCATCGACCGACTGTTGCATTGGTCATTGTCAGCCATCCGGTCAGAGTTCGGGGACGGTGTGGCGTCGAGGATCGAGAGAACACTACCGGCCAGCAGTCGTGCAGATGTGTTTCGTCTCGGAGCAGGAGGGGATGATTCGACAGCAGACGCTGAGGATGATGGCGAGCGTGAGGGTGAAGGGAGCAGTGGAGGCAATGGCGGGTCATTTTGTGGGTCGGATGATTCACTACCGCATTCAGGGCACGGGTCACAGCGTGGCCACAGATCGCGCGGGCGGCCACCAAGCCGTGGCAGGTCGCGTTCGCGTTTCGAACATGTACGTCCTCTGTGCTGGGATGATTCGAAGGATGGTGCTTTGCAAAACGGACCTTGCAATAATCGGTCTGCACATGTGTTGGAATCGATGGGGCACTGGGAAGGCTCGAAAGCGCCTGATCTGGTCTTCGTGGAGCCGGTGAAGCTGCTGCAGTTGCTCGGGTTGTTCGTTTTAAGTTGCCCGCGCCACGGGGCCGGTTGTGATGTGGATGTGTCCTCTGTCGGTTATCCTGGGCAGATTTGTCGCATTTCGCTCGCTTGTAAGAAGTCATGTCGTTGGACATGGCACAGTGAACTGGTTGTGGGAGTTGTGTACTCTTGCAGACTTTAGCAGCAGTTGTTCCATGCGACCGTCAGTGCAGTATGACATATACCGTCCTCAACGACTTCTGCATCGCGTTTGGGGTGGCACCTGTGCACAAGCCCACTTTTTACAGTTGCATGCGCGGTGAGCCGAATGTGCGTGAGGGTTGGAATGCAAAGGTTGTCAGGCAGGGCGTGCGGTATTGCAACTTGGCCATTGACACGGTTATGCGATCAGGGAGACGCGCCACTTTGATGGTTGACGGTCGCCACGACTCGGCCAAGTCTGCACAACATTGCACTGTTACCGTGATTGAGTGTGATACTCGTCTTGTGGTGGGTGTTCACACTCTTCGGCCAAAAAATGAGGGAAAGGCGTCGAACCAACTTGAGGTTCCTGTTGTTGTGCGCCTGTTGAGAGACTTGCTGTCGAGGGGGTTAAAAATCCGATGTGTTGTCTCCGACGATTGTGCTGCATTGGGTCCACAGTTGGAGCGCCTGGGTATTGAATGGCAGAAGGATTGCCATCATAAGGTAAAAAACATTCGCAAGGCACTTAGAAAAGTCGTAACACTGAAGGTGCCAAATAAATTGAACAACCCTCATCAGTGCGTGTCTGAATCTCAGTTTATACAGTTCACGAAGAAGGAGCTGTTGGATGCCTTGACGGACCGTTTTGGACCAGGGTCTTTGACGGCAAAAGAAAAACGATTGAAGAAGAGTGACTTCGTTGCCGTTGTGATGAGCAAAATGTACCCGTACGGCACGATGAAAAACAACAAATCCTTGGTCGTGGATGCAGATGGTGTGACTGAGTTCCATATGCATGAGGTGGGGCATTGGTTTCTTCGCGCTTCCCAGCTTTGCAGAGGTGAGGGCGGCGACTTCGTCACTCTGCACAATAATGTCATGATGATCGCCGACCATTGGGCCGGGGACCACTCCAGGTGCGTTGCGGACAGAGAGCTTCTATGCTCAAAGGCGGGTGGCCCATCTCGGCTGCCTCTGTACACGCACGACCCCGTGTATGACATCATTCGCCAGACGTTGCGCAGGCATTGCAGCACGACCGTTTGTTCGTACTACACGGAGTTCCGTCACACGTCGACGGTTGAGACCTTCCAGGGCACAATCATCATTTACGCGAAGAAGGCCTTGCACTTCGAGAAGTCGTATGAGCCGCGTTTGGCGATTGCAGTCTTTCGATGGAACAGTCATGCATGGCAGGATCCCTTGGAGTATCGTGTCCGCAGGCCGTCTGGGACTTCGATTCGTCCAAGGCCGAGCCACTACCGTCACAATCGGCCACCTACCAATTTGTGGATGGATCGGCTGTCCACGTTCAAATTCGGTTCAAAATGTGTTTCAGATTGGGTTTGACGCCTTCTCGAGTACGCCGACTGTGATGTGTCGGGCGAGGTCGGGTCCTCGACACCTCCTCTGTCTCGCGATCTTTTTTGCAGAGACGAGGATACCATTGCCCGTGACGAGGACAACGTTGCTTCAGGTGCGGATCCCGACGTTATGGGGGATGACGATGTTTTCATCATTGGCAACAGGACCGGCGGATGATTGATTGATTGATTGATCTGTGTCCTGACGTCTGGCCACTACTTCCACCGATCGGACGACTGGCAACGTAATTTGTCACAATTTTTTTATTTTTTTTTGTTAAGCGAGGGATTGATGGCTTGCTTTTCTGTTTTTTCGTTGATGCATTGAACAGAGAAATCGTCCCTGGTGTTTTGTCGTCTGGTGATCCTGTCGCTTTTGGACGACGCTGTGATCTCATCATCGACTGCAAGTTGAGGTGTTTTATTTCTCTCCTCACACCCCAGCGGGTCGAGCCTGGGCTGTCGGACTTACCCCCTTTCAGGGACGGTTGTTTTCTCCCCCTCCCTTTTCTGGCATCGGTATCCATTGCTTGGGTTTTCTTTTAAAGACACACACCATTTCCCTTCCTCTGCAACGAGAGGGTGCATCCCCGTTGACGACAACAGCCGCTCCCNTGAAAGCTATATTCTTCTCTCAATTTCACCTCACACTACCTACCTACCACTACTCCTAATTGTAGGCATACGGGGAACCCCGTAGCAGCCAGAACCGTGTTCACGAGAGAACATGAGGGGGCTGCTCCCGACCTGCAGGTGGGCGATACCGGCTAGGGGACAGCCGGTAGCATCAGGGACCATGCCAACAGGACCAATCCCTGTGCCTCCCCTCAGGTCCCCTCCGCTATGAACATCAGCAGACTCTGCTAAATGCCAATCGGGGGATCCAGCGGTCTATCTCTAGGTGGCGGGCGCCAAGCATGCCCAGGAAGGTACATGAGGCCAATGGGGATTGAACCCATGACCTCCTGAATGCCACTTGCAAGCCTTACCCACTGAGTTAGGCCGCTGGATGATCAGTTTGATATCTGATCCGTTGTCCATGGGGCCACATTGGAAAAAAAAAATAAATAAATAAATAAATAAAAAATAAAAAAAAAAATCCGGCCCCAGTAATCCGCAGTAACAACTCAGATTCGAACCTCAACCTTGAAACCAAGAAAGGGCATGGCCACATCACTCTCCAAATGTGCAAAATGGGAATGAACATGGCCATGTGCACCCGCCACATTTTTGTCTTTTCAGGTTTCCAGAGTGGTGTAGCCACGCCCAAACTCCAGATACTTCTCAGCCAATCCAAAACACTCCTGACCAGGACCAAGATGGCAGTCATCCTGTCAGAATTATGAAAAACCTGAATGCCACCAAGTTGCGCCAACTATTCGAGAGAAATGCAACCACTCAAAAAATCCTCTGTGAACAACCAGAGTGACAGACCCCTATTCGGAACTTCGTAACGGGACTCAGTCTGTCAGAAGGTCACACAAATGAGGTCCCTTAACAAAAAAGTCAAAATTCTTTTTTTTGTTTGGGAAATCTTTGTTTGTTTTTTTGTTCAGTCATTTATCAGGGTCCTATGTCTGCTTCCACGCTCCTTTTTTTTTTTTTTTGCAGGTGGCAGACCAAACGCCGTCGGAACTCTCTTTTCTATCATTTGACAGGCACGGCCCCGCGGCCCGGCCAGGCGCCCGGGCCAGTGCAACTTGGACCGGCCGGGTGGCCAGTTCCGTGCAACTTGGACCCTCTTGGCCAGGTCACCCGGACGAGTAAAAAAAGTAGTAAGAACTTTTTTCTTTTTTCTGATCATGGGGCATTTTTGCACCCTCCCAGAGGGACCCGAATTCGGCCTTTTTTTTTTTGTTGGTTCATTTCTTGGAGGGTTTTGGGGGGTTGGGGGTTGGGGGGGGGGGGGGGGGGGTGGGGGGTGGGGGGGGGGGGGGGGGGGGGGGGGGGGGGGGGGGGGGGGGGGGGGGGGGGGGGAAGTGTTGAAGATTGGCACCGCCGCCATCCCTCCCCTACGTCGTAGAGCTGCTGCGCCGTCGACGCGTGGTAGCGATGGACGGGTCGATCGGCTGCTGCAGCCGATCCGCGGCTGCAGGACGGAAATCGATGATCCCATCTGTGAAAGATGCGCTGGAGCGTCCCGGCTCGGGCGACGGTGAGGAGGTTGGCGGCGTCCACGTGGCATTCGGAGAGGAAGACGGCAGCAGGCGGACAACAGAGATTGGCGTGCGGCATGCTCGAGAGCATGATGAGCAGCAGCTCTTCATGCGCAATCCTATGGCTGCTGGAACTCAGATTACAGATCTTCCAGAGCACTTGATCTGTGAGATCTTGGGGAGGCTTCCGGGGGCCAAGAGCGTGTGCATCGCTGCAAGGGTCTGCTTGAGGTTTGCGCAAGCGGCGCGGTGCGATCTGACGTGGCAGCTCTTGATGCCACGTGGCGGCGACCGGCTGTTCCTTGAGAGGGCGAACATAGTAGTGAAAAGGAAAAAAAGCAAACGAAAGGGAAAAGGAGGAGGGAGCTCAAAGCTTGGACCAGAGGGCGTGCATCAGCAAAGTGCATGCGAGAAGCCGACAACAGACGGCTGTGGGAAGTGCTTGCCAACAGCAGATTGCGCGACGAGACTGTGCGACGCTTGTGCGAGGAGGAAAAAGGCAGCACTCAGTGCAAGGCAAAGGTTCCGCCTACTGTGTAGGGGCCTCAGAGATAACCAATCGCCTCACGTTCTTTACAAAATCCGCAGGAAGAAGCGCGCCATAGTCGCCTGCTTTGCCGGCCTTGGGATGAATGTCCTAGATGAGGAGGAAGAGTATGTCGAACCTGATGTCTTTGAAAGCGTCTTCAAGAATGCATTAGTGATTCCTGATGTGGCGCCTTATGCTAGCGTGGAGGTTAACGGCAAGTTTGAGTGTGCTCTGCCTCCTGGTCGATACGAGTGTTTCTTGCGCATGCATGGGACACCGGAGAATTTGGAAGACAGCGAATGGGGGTATTTATTCAAGGAGAGGCCGAACTTGAGTGTGCAGGTAAATGGAGGGCCGATCTCTTTGCATCGCTTAAATAGACGCGCCTTTAACGTGTCAGCGCTAACGAGGAAATTCTGTTCAAAGATACAAACGGGAGTCTTTGTGGACATAGCTCCCCACGAAAGCCAACACCCGCAGCAGGGCGCTGACCAGCCAATTGAGGAGGGAGAGAGTCTGGTGCCAACCTGTCTCGAGTTCACCTTCGAACAGGGACACGGCTATTCTTAGTGTCTGGACTGTGTGGTGCTTAGGTCGATCCAGGGAACGCAAGAGGAGGAGAAGCACGAGCAGGAGGAGGACGAGGAGGAGGAGGAGGAGGAGGAGGAGGAGGAGAGCTGCTGTGAGGAGTGGACGACGGGAGAGGAGAGTTATGAGGAGGAGGAAGATGTAGAGGCTTCGGAGCTTTGAACCACCACTAGCTTTCTCAGTGTTGGGAAAAATGGGAATATAAACTATTTCGGGATTCAAAGTTGGGAGTTCTTTGGATCAGATCCCACTACGCTGGATTATTCATTTTTCACCCTAGATTACGAAGATCAACGGTCAGAAATGAACAATAGGGGGGCTAGTGGGATCTGGCCCTTTTCCCTGCCGAGAATGGGCACACCGCATTTTTCGGAGATCCCGAGGAGGCTAGGCAGGAAAGGAAAAGAAAAGAAAAGATTGGGACCCCATGGGCCCCTGGTGAGGGAAAAAAAACAAAAACAAAAACAAAAAAACACTACGAACTTTGAATCCAGCGATGTGGGAAAGGCCCTCTCGGAGGTGGAAGTCACACCAGTGTGTTGAGGAATGTATCTGACCAACGAGTGTGGAACAGCGGAAAGCGATTGCTGTTTTTTTTTTGTTTTTGTCCCCCTTCTTCCGTTTGCTTTTGGTGCCCTGCCAGCGAGGCAGGGCGTATTCCACGCAGGGCAACTGACTGCCTCACTCATCTCATACTCGCACTACCTAATGTAGCGTCCTGTATCAGACCCTGGTCACTGTGTAAGGGATTTTTTTTCCCCTGTGCTCTTCGTTTCTTCTTCATAGAACAGACACCCCCCCTGAGGGCACACATTCTCACTAGCATCTCATACTAGAATGTATCTGACGGCTATCACGGCGTTAGGGAAGTTCCTGTCTTTTTTTTTCCTCCTCCTTTTCTGTTCTTCTTCTTTTTTTTTTCCCCTTCTTCTTCTTTTATCTTTTTTGTTCTTCTTCGTTTTTCTTTCCCCTTCTTCTTTTTTCTTTCCTTCTTCTTCTTCTTCTTCCTTTTCCTTCTTCTTCTTCTTCTTCCTTTTCCTCCATGCTCAGTATGAAGGGAGGTAAGCTCCGTGGGTCGAAAGGCTGGGGTATGTGGTTAGCCCCCTGAGGATGATAGGAGCGCAGCCGATCGAAACACGTCGGGGAATGTGCGCGTGAGCTGAGATTAGTATGCGCGGCTATGTAATGAAGATTATCTAAGCGTGTACGAAAGGCAGTTGGCCACTGTTTCCACTATTCCACTATTCTTCTTCTTCCTTTTCCTTCTTCTTTTTTCTTGTCCTTCTTCTTCTTCTTCTTTCTTTTCCTTCTTCTTTTTCCTTTTTTGTTCTTCTTCTTTTCCCTTTTTTGTTCTTCTTCTTTTTTGGATGTAACTGCTGTGTCTGCTGTGAGTACCAGGAGAAAAATACAATGGGACCCCAGGCTTGGCAGTGGGCAGAACTCGGTGCGCAGCGAAATGTAGGTTCGGCGAAAACAGGATCAAAAAAAAAAAAAAAAAAAAAAAAAAGGATCAGAAGGAGTGGTGGTTCAAAGTTTTGGGAATACCATGAAGACAAGGAGGAGGAGAAGGAGCAAGAGCAGCAGCAGGAGGAGGAGGAGCAGGAGGAGGAGGAGGAGGAGGAGGAGTACAGGATTGGGGGAGGAGAACTGTTGCTGTGAGGAGAGGAGGATGGGAGAGGGGAGTGATGAGGAGGAAGATGCAAACGCTCCAGATCTGTAAATTCCGTGGACGACAACAAAAAAGACAAGGAAGGTGTGGACTCCCATGGTTTGATTATGGGCCTCGGTCCGCTGCTCAGAACTCTGTATGCATTTGGACGCCTTTCTGGACCAGGTGCGTTTGGAGGAGTCCAAGATCTGGAACACATCCGGACGTTTATGAGCACGAGAGGCATATAGAGTGTTGTACAGTGGAGTGAGGCCTTATGACTTGAGGCTGTGAAAGGGTCCACTACGTCACTGGCCAAATCGCTGCACTGCACGCCAAATGTGGGAAGGACGAGATCGTTTTTTCTTCTCTTTTCCCCCCCCAGACACCGTTATCAGATTTGGCGAGCGGTGGACAGTAGTCCTTTTTTTTGCTTTTTTTTTCCATAATTTTTTTCCTCGGAGTCCTGTTTCAATTAGTTCCACTGCAACTGTTGCCCGTTCACCCGTCCAGTCTACTAAAGTGCCCACCAAACCGTGCAAGATGTCGGCTTTCCAACTTGTAGGTTTATATAGGACCACGCCTGGCTTTTGTTCTTTTTAGCGTGCACCAAAGCAGTCGGCGATGGGTTGTTCTTTTTAAAAAGGGGGCCGCTGAGGCTAGGAGTGGCACTGGCTGCGGAAAGCATATGACGTCCATCTGAAGCGTCGGTGGGGCGGGTGAGTCCTGGTTGCAGGCCACGTTGGAGCGATGGAGTCTAGACGCACCCTCCTGTGTTTTGCAGAATCCCAGGCTTGGGATCAGGGTNTCTCTCTCTCTCTCTCTCTCTCTCTCTCTCACACACACACACACACACACACACACACACACACACACACACACACACACACACACACAGTCTGTCTTGCCGTACTTAATTTGATAATCTCTGATGCGGAGAAAGCCAGAAGACCCAGCGTGGCAGTTCTCTCTATCTCTCTCTGTCTCTGTCTTTCCGTACTTAATTTGATAACCTCTGATGCGGAAAAAGTGAGAAGAGGCAGCCTGGCAATTTTCGGTGTTTGCTTAGTCATTTTTCTATCATTTAGCATAATTACATCCCAGAGTATACTCAGTGTTTTGGTGTCAAATTACACATCGTCAGCTTATACTTTGGGCCTTGCCGGATGGTAAACGAAACGAGAAAAAAAACTAATTCGTTTCGTGAACGTTTCGCTGCACAGTCAAGAAACGAAAACTGTCAGGAGGAAGTCGCGAAGTGTGTCAGATTTGCAATTCGCGAGCCTCCGCACGTGCCCCTTCCATGCCCGCCTGCAACTTGCGAAAAGTCGTAGGTCCTCCAAAGGTTGCTGGTGGAGCTGCGAATCCACGCGAGTGCAGCGAGTCGGTCCAAAAGATGCAGCACGTCACTCCAAGGGATGTCGGTCCAAAAAAAAATTAGCATTTGCAACAGTCAGGCAACTCAACACTCATCAGGCCGTTTCCGCGAGTGATTTCGCGTGTGCCGTGCGGCGGTGGTGTAACAAACGAAACGAAACGGTGATTTTCTTAGTCTGTTCCCTTAAACCACCAGTACTTCCTAAAGTTGTTCCCGTATAAAAGCCACTCACAGACAGAAACATTTCCTTTGCTTTAGGAAACGGGCCACTACAGGAGCGGCCAAATTCATCCAACTAGAAACATTTCTCCTCTTTTTTATTTTGCCACCGATAGCTGGGCCAAGTACTGGTGGTTTAATGATGCTCATTGGCATGGTGTTTGCTGGAAGCACATATTAAGGGGAGGGTAAAGGGAAAAGGGTAAGAAGCGGACTTTTTTCAGGTGTACTAAGGGGTTGGGGAGGGAGAAAGGGTAGGGGAGGAAGTGGAATGGAAAGGACAGGACACAGATCTGACAAACTCACAAGATTCTAAATTATACTGATCACGGGAGCAGACTACTCTGGAATGGCACATGGGGCCAGCCAGTGTTTGGGTTGCATAAGATCGTGACTTGAGAAGCAGTCGATGCCTATGGTAAGTTGACGCCCCTACAGACCGGACAGGACCAGATCGAGTGCGGGCTGTGGAAGCACCGCATCCAATTCTCGCAGTCGCAGTTGCTGCATCAAATGGCTCGGCGTATACAGATCTCACACTGTCAGAGGCTACGTGGCTCCTACATGCTAGGAGCACAGAGGCACGCCAAGAGCAATTGTAAAGACAATTGCAAAGACATTGCCGTTCCGGCCCGTCTGCAAATTGTACACAACATGTCAGTGTGTGTGTGTGTGTGTGTGTGTGTGTGTGTGTGTGTGTGTGTGTGTGTGTG